TCTGGGTTTGTGTATGTATTTTTGTTGTGGTTTGTTGGAAGAAGGTCTACCGGTTTTGAACATTGTAGTGTCATATCGAATTGCCAGTGCCTAAGCTTCTTCTAAAGCAGCTGGTGCCTGATAAGCTATCTCCGTTCTGGTAGCGTGTTTGAGACCCTCGATAAAATAGATAACTTTGACTATTTCATTTATATTTTCTATCTGACTTATTATATTATGAAATTGGGTTCCATATTTCTGTACAGACCCAGTCTGGAGTAGTTTCTTGAGTTGCTGACGAAGGTAATACTGATAGTTGGGGGCTGAAATGCTTGGCAGATAGCTGTTGCAAAACTATCTCAATTGGCAAAGAATGCATTATTTTCTGTTGCTGTAACTCTATTGAAATATCAATGCAAAGCAGCCCCCTCAAATCCTGTAGCTGTATAATGTATTTTAGTTGCATTATCGTTAATTTCTTGAGCATGAAAAATACTTTGAACTTGAAGAAGCCAGGCAACAACATTTTCTTTCGGCTCTCCCCTGTATGTTGGAATTCTAATGCTAATTTTTGAAACGTTGTTATTAGCATTATTATTAGGGACATTTTGGGTATTTGCATTTATATTTGCATTGCCTCCCATGTTAATAGTATCTGCCAACCCTTGTTGGGTTTGAATTAGTTGTGTGATGGCAGCTAATAAGTTGTCTATGACAAACAAAAAAAAAATAAGTGGTGTGGGGTATAAATATGTGTGTGGTATGGGTGTAAGTGTGTGTGTATAACAAGGTGGATAAAATTTGCTACTACTAAAATGTAAGATTCTATGAAATCGGTTAACAAGGCTTAAGAAGCATAAGCAATTTTACTTTGATTTTATTGTTTAAGTTCTTTAATTTTTTTACTTCTTTATTAATCTTACAAGTTACTTTTATATTTAGAAAAAATCAAGCAACTTTTATACATTTTTTTGAGTAATACATGAAGAGCGTTTTAAAATAAATAAATTAATTAGATGAAACTAATATATTGTGATTTTAGTAATTTTAGATCTTATCTTTCTCAGGAATATAGTTTGTAACTTAAAGGCATATAAATAAATAAATAAATATAATGAGACGATCGTTACAATAGTATCTAGTACGATCTAATTTGTTAGATTAGAATAAATAGTAGAGCCATCATAAACAGAAGTTTGTCTGATTGGCTAATATAAATCAATTGCCCAGGTAACTTATTTATATACTTTAAAGTACTTTTTAAGAAATCAAGTGTTACATACTAAAAGAATGCCAAATTTTTATATAGGTCTCTTCGTTAAAGTGTCAGAATATTACCTTTAAAAATAATCTCTAATAAGATCTTATTTAAGTAGTGTTAG